GGCGGGGCCAAGAGCTCGGCCACGGTCAGCCGCAACCTCAACCGCTTCTCCACCTTCGTCAAGTCCGGCGGGGAGGCCTTCGTGCTGGGCGAGGCATCGGGCTTTGTGAAGGACGGGGACAAGCTGTGCGTGGTGCTGGGCCCCCGCGGCCCCGAGTGGCAGGAGAACCCCTACCCCTTCCAATGCTCCATCGAGGACCCCACCAAGCAGACCAAGTTCAAGGGCATGAAGAGCTACATCGCCTACAAGCTGGTGCCGAGCCACACCGGGCAGCAGGTGCACCGCCGCTACAAGCACTTCGACTGGCTCTATGGGCGGCTGGCCGAGAAGTTTCCCGTCATCTCCGTGCCCCACTTGCCGGAGAAGCAGGCCACCGGCCGCTTTGAGGAGGACTTCATCTCCAAACGTCGCAAAGGCCTGACCTGGTGGATGGACCATATGTGCAGCCACCCCGTGCTGGCTCAGTGCGATGCCTTCCAGCACTTCCTCACCTGTCCCAGCACGGATGAGAAGGCCTGGAAACAAGGCAAGCGCAAGGCTGAGAAGGATGAGATGGTGGGTGCCAACTTTTTCCTGACCATCAGCGTCCCCACGGGCCCTGGGGCCATCCTGGACTTGCAGGAGGTGGAAAGCCAGGTGGATGGCTTCAAAGCCTTCACAAAGAAGATGGACGAGAGCGCCTTGCAGCTTAACCACACGGCCAATGAGTTTGCCCGCAAACAAGTCACTGGTTTCAAGAAGGAGTACCAGAAGGTGGGGCACTCCTTTAAGTGCCTCAGCCAGGCGTTTGAGCTGGACCAGCAGGCCTTTTCAGCTGGCCTCAACCAAGCCATAGCCTTCACTGCAGAAGCCTACGACGCCATTGGGGACCTCTTTGCAGATCAGCCCCGGCAGGACCTAGATCCTGTGATGGATTTGTTAGCGCTGTATCAGGGGCATTTGGCCAACTTCCCAGACATCATCCATGTGCAGAAAGGTAACACCCTTACGTGTTTTATGAAACGATGAAGTTTTAAGTGTCAGTGGTATGCACACAGGTGTGGGGACCATGGGCTGAATTTGCCCTGCGTCTGATTGGCTGGCCTTGAGTGAAATCTTTCCATGTTTACTCAGGTAAACTGATGCTAAAATACAAAAAACACGTCACTGACAGTTTTCATTCTGCGCGAAAGATCTAGACATAGTTGGGAATTTTACTGGTTGGAGGTTGCTGTGCTTGGTGACGTATTTCCTAAAAAAACCACATCGGCCTGTAGTGCTGATACGTTAAAGATTAATAGGCTTGTCTACAAACCGTGGAGATCAAGTGGTATGAGCTATTACTCTTTGATGTACGTTAGGTATCTTAAATCTCTAATCTGGTATAAAATAAATATGAGGTAATCTGACGATGCAGTTGCTCCTCTGATTGACCACCTTGTTTGAGTTGTGCATGGCGGTGTGTGTATTTTGCAGTGTCAGACAGTCGGATGAGGTGTTTGAAGTTGCTGGGGTTTCTTGGTTCGGCCATGCATTAAACTCTCTTGGTGCCTTTGTAAGAATAATGGTCTGCCACAGTGTTCTTAATTGAAGTTGTTCATCCTTTGCCTTTACTATTGTAAAAAGATGTTGCTCACCTGTTACCCTTTCAGCCTCCTTCTAGCTGAAACACTCTTCTGAGGTTCAGGTTGCTGTTTCTATGGTGCTTTGTGATCCATCAGAGAGAGGGAGACTCCAAAAGTGAAAGAATCACCTTCTGTGTAACTAGGGACATTTGTTCAGATAAATAGATGTGTGTAGTACTATATATGTGCAGATTATTTCTCTGCTGTGAAGTTAATGATACACGTATAGTCTTCACCTTTGTGAGAAGACTAGCCCATATTTCATTCTTTTTGCTTTTATGTTCTCTACCAGTAGTTTTCCACTCGAAGATCAGGGAAATGTGGAGCGTGGAGCTGTAAAAGAGATGAAGAAAACATCACATAAGCTCTGCAGAAATGGATGTGTGTAACAGTTACCTGAAAAAATGCATGAGCTTTACTGAAAATTATTTTGGATATTAATAAGTGGTGTTCTGCATCCCAAGAGGCAGAGCTTGAATTGTTAGTCTTTTGTGTCCTTAGGTGACATTCCAAGGGGTTTTGCATCTGGAACAGTACCTTGAGTTTGCCTATAAACGTGCTGGAAGAGTTTTTTCAACAGATCAAAAAGACAGGCTTCGGGGAGGTATGCATTACTGCTGGAAAAATCTGAGGAGACAGAGCTGGTACACAGTGCACAATCTGTTGTTATTTAAGAAAGTGAGCTTTTCATAAAAATTGCATGCATCAAAGTCAGATTTCCATTCTCCATTTGAGTCTTGAAAGTTGTGAGTGGGCACTTAAACAATCTTAGTATTATTTTGAAGAGAAAAGGGACGTGTGCAGTCAAGCGTTTGAGGACTTGTTCTGTTAGCTGCTGAGGCATCGTGTTCTGGTAACAGCTGTCAAGTATTTTAAATTTGGAGAAAAGGGTGGCCTTGGCAATGTCTCGTGTTTGGGAGGAGAGCATTTTAAAATGAGTTGTCAACTAGTAATAGGATTATCTGTAAGTTTCTGGGAAAAAAATAAAGGGAAAGGTTTTTTACTAGGTGGAAAAAAACATCAGATTGTATATACTATTTAAATAATATATGCTTGAGCTTTAAGGCTATATAGTGTTACTCGCTGCAGTATTTTTGGAGACGAGACTTTGAAGACAGGATTGTGAATAATAAGATACGTGCTTGACTCAACCATGTTTCTTTTATAATTCTGTTTGAATTCGCGCCTACTGCTTAGGTTTACCTTGCTGAACTGGGGAAAGGTCACCTAAATGAGCTTCCATGGGAGGAATGCACAAGCATGATGTATGTAGGGTTGATTTTGTGCCAGACCACTGTCCTGAGGCTGGCTGGAGGAATGCACAGGCGGTCTGCACCCAGGTGTTAGTGCTCCAGCACCTCTGGGCTAACGCTGCCTTCAACACAGTGTTTATCCCTGGTGCATACTTGCCATCACAAAACGGCATTGGCTTGAGAGGTTGTTCTCTTGAGTGTCCAGGTTCATGATAGGAACAGGATTAGAACTGGGTTATGTGTTTGTTGTTGTCGTTCCCATTACAAAACAGGCAAACTGGAGGAAAACTGAGAAGAAGATGGTTTTTACCCTCAGTATGTTGCTGGTGTTTTATTACTCCTAAGACTTGCTTGTAGCATGGTGTAGCATTTCGATTCCAAATTGTAAACTTCAGATGAAAATAGGAACTGTTTGGTGTTCCTACAATACAAGAGTTTTCTTTTAATTTTACAGGCTGGGATAGTTGCCAGTTTTGAGAATTACTGTTGTTTGCATAGACTAAACAAATATCTGTTGGTGATAATAGATCATCTGAAAAATAGAGTTGACCTGTCTTTCTTCAAGTGTTTTATTTTCCAGTGTACAACTTCTTTGTGCAGTCAAATGACCCCAAAGTGCCCTTAGAAGTGGTAGAAACAGCAGACTAGTTGATGCATTGCTTATATGGCAGTGCCTTTAAAAAGAGGAACTCTTAGGTTAGGAGTACTTGTTTGTTTTCTAGATAGTGCAGATATATTGTCCACTTGGGATAGAAACCAAGACCTTTTCTAGACTGCGTTTCTTTATTCCCCTAGACCTGAGAAGGACTGAAAAAAAGGCAGCTGTGCCCAAAACATGCCTGTGACTGTGAGTAGAGTATTCAATTGCATCGTCCTGTTACGGGTTTGCAGTACTGCAGATAGTTGAACAGCTGCTGAATGTGTTTTGGAGGTGTGTTTTGTGGTACGGACTGAGAAGTCTGCGCCTCTGAAGTTTTTCTTAAAATTTCTGCAACTTCTGCAAAAAGAAGGGCAGAGAATCTGTAAGTCAGAGACAGAATTTTCCCTCCTTTCGGGCTTTGTCTTTTCTCCTAAAAGTATGAACCAAAGCCATGTAAGCTGTGCTGTTGCTTTTTTTGCATATCAGCAGGGAAATGTGTTAACTGTTGTGCTTTTGATTGCTCTAGGATCCAGAGATGTCCTCCTGTTCTGAGGACGTCTTCCATGATCTGAAGTGTGCAGAAAGGGATTGCCATTTTGGTCACTTGTGTAAAATATGTGAACCAGTGTACTGTGGGAATATTTTCAAACTGGTTATTGTTGTTGTTGTTTAGTAGTAGTTTTAGTATTTTATCTTATGGCAATGGCTTCAACAGGAGTTTAAAAGATTCCTTTGCCTAGTTCATATTGAGCACCCAGTGTTTGAGGAACTTTCTGTTAGGAAAGGAAGACCTAAAGTTCCTGCTCCAGAAGAGACCCCACGTTTCCATCTGGAAATGCTTGGTTTGAGAGTCCCGCTGAGGCTGGTACAGAGCCTATCAGCCCCAAGGCGTACTTTCCTTACAAACAACTTGTTGTTTTATAGGTTTTAATTGGAAAACTAAGCGTTTAGGGGAAAACTGACACCTGTAGGGGTGGATGATGGCAGGGTGGTATCTTGAGCATCTAAGCACCCAAATACTTGTACAGATCTAGCCCTCAGCCCCCCATACTGCTTGCATAAAAGTAGTCCTGTGCACACCTGTGTTTTTTGGAGTGGAAGATCCAAATATGTTGGATAGATGTACTCAGTTTTCTTTAGCCTCTGGCAAAACATTTGTAGAAGAGGAGTATAAAGTTTAGTAGGCTCTCAAACTGAGCTGCACTTTTGTCGTTTTCTTTTGCAGAACTGGTGTATCTTTCAAGAAATTCTAGATTCAGTTGCTTTAATTTTGAGGAGAAAAGCAGCCTGCTGTCTTCATTTGTAATGGATAATGCATTCGTTGCTGTGTTTTTGAGGTCTACTTGTGGAAATTCCCTAGGCATTCTTGGCAGAATAATTCCTGAATATTAATTGCTAGAGCTTCACTCAACTGATGAGATCTTCTGACTTCAGTAGTCTTCAACATAAATGCTCACTGCAGGCCCATGCAAGTTCAGGTTCAGAAAAATTGTGCACATGTAAGAATCTGAGATAGTGTATGCTAGTACTGTAGCTCATGCTTGTCTGGCTAGGTTGTCTTCATATTTGCTTAGTGAAAGTAGACGAGTTATGGGTTTTCAAGTTTACTTAAAGTTTTTTTTGAGGAATTACTATAATTGGCCGCTTGTGATTCCTGAAACTGAAAGAAATACTGACTAATATCCTGTTTCGTCTCTGCTTTCTAGATTTCTCCTTTCTCTTAACATTATGTTAATGCTAGACAAACTTCGGGTTCTGATTTTTGCAAAACATATTTGAGGAAGTGTTCTAAATATTTTCTAAGATATAGGTGGCAATTCTGTTTCCTCTGCATGCCAAGATTTAGGAGAATTATTAAAAAAAAAAATCCGAATGACCTTTTTGCTTCCTGATCAATGTTTGTAAAAAGTAAAATAAAGCAAATGGTCTTACTTGCCCAAAGCAAACATAATTCTAAACATCAGCTTTAAAGAATGGGCTGGGTGTATTTTTAGAGTACCTTACAAAACTACAGGCGAAACTAACATTCTGGCTGGAAAAGGATCCAGGTACCCCCCAGGTACATGCAGTTTGCATAGGGTTCAACTCAGGTAGCTACTGTCTAAGAGCTAGGCATGTAATCCTAGCCAGATGACCCTCACAACAGTAAAAAGAGATGGGTACCTAAATTTCATCTGTTTAAGGACTTTGATGAGACAGGATGGATTGCTCCAGGACAACTTTTACTTTTTTGCCGGTCAGCCTCCATATCGCTGTCACAGGGATGATGTAGCATTATCTGCTTGCTGCTGAATAACCCAATATTACTAACCAGTATTTGAAGGTAACCTGAAGGAAACTGAGACTTACAGGTGGTTAAAATGTGAAAGAATTTTCACATTTAGAAACTGTATAAAATTATGTCTTCCTTGGTATGTGTGAAATCAGAGGACAACGATAAGCAAGACTAAAACTGAGCAATAGCCTTACTTGAAGAAGA